AGTGTGGTTGTTAATCAACTCATCAACGGTTCTAACTGTCTATGATTAACTTTTATTTAGCTAAACTGGGTCTGTGACTCGGCGTACAAGGCACGCATTGGCCAGTCCCTGTTCTTCATCGGCTCCGTGGTGGGCACTCTCTTCTACGGCCTGCTTTCCGATAAGATTGGCCGTGTTCCCGCCCTAATCTTGTCCAACTTCTGCGGCTTTGCCGGTGATTTCTCCACCATATTCACCAAGAGCGTGGGCACTTTCACACTCTGCCGTTTCATTTCCGGCCTGGCAGCCGACACAAACTTCTACCTAATGTACATTATAGGTAAGTAAACAAGTGGTTTGGATTGGGTTGGAAATATTAGGTCAGCTTCCCATTTGCTACTATTTATTTTTAAGTACAATTCAACAAGTGGCTTTTATCTAAATGGTTAAAAAAAACGTAGTTACTATTTGTCCTCAAAATTAGCATATTAACCTAGTAATAACTGATGAAAGCCAATGCGAATTGATCGTGCAAAGTGTCAGAAAAAACCTACACCAGTAAAAAAAAAGTAGTAATACCAAGTATTTTGTATTCCATTTAAATATTTTTCATCCAAATCGGATTTTGGATATTTTAATTATGAAAATATTAATTTTTTGTTTTATATTTTTTATTTGACAATTTTTATACCCTTGCAGAGGGTATTATAATTTCAGTCAGAAGTTTGCAACGCAGTGAAGGAGACATCTCCGACCCTATAAAGTATATATATTCTTGATCAGCATCACTAGGCGAGTCGATCTAGCCATGTCCGTCTGTCCGTCCGTCTGTCCGTCTGTCCGTCTGTCCGTCCGTTTATATGCAAACTAGTCTCTCAGTTTTAAAGCTATCTGCATGAAACTTTCCCAAAAGTTGTCTTTCTATTGCAGGTAGTATATAAGTCGGAACGAGCCGGATCGGACGACTATAGCATATAGCTCCCATAGGAACAATCGGAAAAATAAAGGAAAAAAAATTATAACTTTGCTGTTTTTTAATTTTTTGTTTAGTTCTTCGACATTTAGTAATGGTTAAATATTTCCGATTTACGGTTTAAATTTCATCAAAATCGGACGACTATAGCATATAGGTCCCATAGGAACAATCGGAAAAATAAATGAAAAAAAATTATAACTTTTCTGTTTTTTAATGTTTTGTTTAGTTCTTCGACATTTAGTAATGGTTAAATATTTCCGATTTACGGCTTAAATTTCATCAAAATCGGACGACTATAGCATATAGCTCCCATAGGAACAATCGGAGAAATAAATGAAAAAAAATTATAACTTTTCTGTTTTTTAATTTTTTGTTTAGTTCTTCGACATATGGCAATGTTTAATTATTTCAGAATTATGGTTTAAATTTTATCAAAATCGGACGTCTATATCATATAGCTCCCATAGAACTAATAAAAATATATAAAATAACTATCTAATAATTGAGCTGCAAATCATCATAGCTTCACTGTTTTTCAGTATATACTGAAGTAAATCATAATTTAAATGTTTTCAAAAGTATTTAATTCATGCAATAGCTGCAAGGGTATATGAACTTCGGCTTGCCGAAGTTTGCTTTCTTTCTTGTTTGAATTGTTTTTATTGTCTATTTTAATTTGAATTTGAGCCACATAAAATCTTAATATAATGCATTTAAAATAAAAACGAACCAGTTTAAATCAAAAATTTGTATCTTAGTTTAAGTATTTTTATATTCAATTATGCAATATAATATGTCTTATTTTAAATATTATTATTCAACATTAAATTTGAATATCAAATATACAATTTTATATTTATATTTACTACTCCATTTTTTTGAACAGTGCAATCGATTTTCTTATAAATCTACAAACAGAATTCTTTTAAAATATTAGTAAAACTGATAGTTTATTTTTATAAAATTAATATTTCTTTTAATCTTGAGCAAAAATCTTGCATATTAACTTATTTTATAGGTTTTTGTTCCCTAATTTAGCTTGTTTTATAATTATACTAATATATTTATCCCAAACAGTTCTCGAATATATTCGCCCCAGCATGAGAACCCTGGGACTCAACATGGCAGTGGGTCTGTTTTACTGCCTGGGCCTGGTCTTCACTCCTTGGCTGGCCGTTTTGGTGGGACACTGGCAGATGTACCTGGCCTGCACCTCGCTGCCCATCCTGCTGGTGGTGCTCTACTACTTTGTGGTGCAGGAGAGCGCCCAGTGGCTGGTCACTCGGAATGACATCGACGGGGCCATCGTGCGGCTCAAGCGGGTGGCCAAGTTCAACGGCTGCCGGGTGACCCAGGCGGAGTTCGATGAGTTCCGGCGCCACTGCCAGATGACCCGCGAAATGCAGGGCGGCGATGACAAGAAACAGGCCACACTGCTGGACATGTTCAAAACGCCACGCATGCGCAAGAACACGCTCATTCTGTTCTTTAAGAGGTAAGTTACTTAATTTATATATATTTTATTTACTCGTCAAGCGATTAACATATAAATGCTATTATTTATAAAACTCCACATCCAAAAAAAACCAAAGGATTTGTTAGGATTTAAAGCCTGAACATAGCTTAAATGTTTAGGAAAAAATCACCTTATTCTACACTGGGAAAAAAACCGTAGTAAATCACTATTTTGTGGCTGCATATGAACTGGAGATTATTCTTTATTTAATCTTTACTATTTGGCAATGAACTAAATTAGTATGCCCCTTTTTATTCAATTAGACATATTGTTACAATGACTAATTTTAACAACATTTTTTTTTTGTTCCACATAGTTTTGTACCACTTGTTGATTGTTTAAGTGATATTATTTAGACAAAAAAGTTTTAAATATAACAATTTAATTTGCTTTTCTTAACCACAGCATGGTGATCACCCTGTGCTACGATGCCGTCTCCCGAAATGTGGAGGGCATGGGCATCTCGCCCTTCATCATGTTCTCCCTGAGTGCCGTGGCAGTGCTGCCCTCGAGTATCCTGCTGGTCCTGCTGCAGGATCGCATTGGTCGCAAGGGCATGGCCTCGGGATCCCTGCTGGTGGGCGGAATCTTCACAACCGCCGCCGGAATTGCGATCGCCTACCAGCAGCACAACCACAATGCCATTCTACTGGCCTGTCTGACCATCGCCGCCCGATTCGGTGTGGCCATCTCCTACGAGTCGGGCTCTCAGTACGCCACCGAGCTGATTCCCACCTGCGTGAGGGGTCAGGGAGTGGCTGCAGTCCACGTGGCCGGGTTCGCGGCCTCCTTCCTGGCGCCCTACATCCTTTGGCTGGGCACCTTGATCAGGGCGGCGCCGTCGATAATCCTGGGCATACTGTTCTTTGCCGGATCCTTTGTCTGCCTACTGCTGCCAGAGACGCTAAACAGGTTAGTAATTGTGTATAAATGTATAATTCGAAAATTGCATATCCTAGAGATCAATTTAAGAGGGCAAAAAAATTCATTCCAAGCATCCAAACTGATGATGAGATGCTTACAAAATTTTATATTAGGACTGATTAATAAATGTTAAAGCAATCATTTTATTTTTATTTATTTAAAATTAATAGTGTAATCTGATTTTATAGTACACAATTTTTATAAAAGCTATATTTACCAATAACTTAATTGAAGTTTACAGATGAGTAAATCTCATTTAATGAATGTTTGATTTATTTAAGTTATTCTTGGCATGTAAGTTCATTGCTTTCTGGTAATTAGAAGACATTCATTTGAATAATTTGTGTTAGCTCACTTTACAATTATTTATTTGCTATTTTTGTGTAGAATAGATGAACTCCTTGGAAATAACGATGAATATGTAATATTTATGTGATTATGTCGATAATGTTTTGCTTAATTTACGAATATTTTGTGTTATATTTCAGGAGCCTGCCCACGACCATCGAAGAGGGCGAGGTGTTCGGCAAGGGCGAGCGCATGTTCGACTTCCCGTGTCTCCACAACCGGCACGATGACGAGGAATCCGACTCCGAGCTGGAGAAATACAAGCGCAAGCACTCGCTGATCGACGCCAAGCAGATGCAGATGGAGTCCTGCTCGAACGGGAAGCGCAAGCAGTCCTTGATTGACGCCGACCGCGAGGAGCAGGCCCTGAAGGACGCCAAGCACTGAGGGGCCCACTTCCCCCCGCCCTCAGTAGTTCGTAGTTTAGCTAACCAATTTTCGCTTAGACCTTAAGACCCAGGCTCCTGATCCAGGATCCAGATGCAGATCCAGAATGGGTGCCAACAAAATGTGTGCTCAGTATGCGGAAGCCTTTTCTTATTTGTATAGGAGTGTACCCGTATAAATTTATAAATACTTATATATACCTACTCTAGCTGGTAACGAATTAGGACGTAGCTGTACATTTAATTTGATCGAAAATTAAAGTTTTTTCCAAAACGCTGATTGTGCATGAGAACGGAATCGTATAGTTAACACTTAAGCGGCACAAAATCACTTAAATGAAACCAATTGAATACTTACCGTAAGAGTTTTTCATAATAACTACTTGTACATAAGTGCGATACTACTTAGGCCAGTAACTGAATGTTCTATTTTGGATTTTGATCTTTAAGCAAACGAGAACCATTAAGCAAACTGATAATAACTATTTAAAGTTAGAAAACCATAGAAAATATACAAATCAAAACAATTTTATTCAAACGTTGTTAATTTCTTTTCTGGCGGAGGCGTTTATCGAAATATATTATATTTAATTTCTAATATAAAATTGCCTTGTTGTTTGAATTGACTAAAGGCAACAAGTGTTTATATATATATATATTTATATATATATAACATAACAATAAAGTTAAGGTATTTTTTAAAATTAAAAAAAGGTGTTTAAGTATCCTTATGAATGGTTTACTTAACTATATTTTAATATTAAAACCAAATGACTGGTGTCTTAAAATACTATAACGTGCTGGTGGATAAAATCAAATTAGTTTAATGTCTGTACCAATTTTATCCTAGTCGAAAACAGAGCATCACTTGTAGTTTTTCATATATAAATTTATTGTGAAAGAAAATAAGTACATCATATATATATACCAGTTCTGTTTTGATTATATACGGTTAGATAAATGTGTTCTACACAACGGTTTTGGTTTAATTACTATGCATCCTTCACATGAGTAACAATTATCAGACCATTCGGTTACAGAAGTCAACTAATCGTTGGCTCCATCATCAGGTTAAGTGGCTAGCAGGTTGAAAAGTAGTCAGTTTTCAGTGGACAACCCTCTAGGGTTCAGACTTAAGGTCCTCATGCTTGGTCAGACTTTCGCGGCGTTTGTGCAAGCATGGGAAATAGAGGCAGCCCTCGTTCATGGCAAAGCGTTCGCCATCGGCCAGGGTTTCGGGCAGTTTCCTTAATTTAAAATAAGTTAATATATTAATTAATATGGCAAATGTCTATAAAAGATGTGACTTACTTGTGCAGAGTTTCGGGAAGCGTAAGGCAAAGAAGGGCGCCCAGGAACATCAGAACGCTGATGAAGATCGAGGGGAGGGGCTTGTAGTACTGGGCCAGGTAGATCACATAGAAGGCCAGTGAGCTGGAGGCCAATCCAACCACATGAATGTTGGACACCGCCTGACCTCGCACACTTGTTGGTATGATCTCTGCCGCATATTGGATCTCTGCATCGTAGGAGACAGTGGTACCAAAGCGGCCCAGGCCCACCATTAAGGCCAGCAGGATGGCATTCTCTTTGGGATCCAACACCGCAATGAGGAATCCCGTGGCGGCGGTGATAATGGCGCCCACCAGCAGGGCTCCACAGGCCATGCCCTTGCGACCGATCCTGTTCTGCAGCAGGAGAATGATAAATCCTGCTGGCAGATAGACACTGGAGGTCAGTGAGAACAGCTTGAAGGGCGAGGAGCCCAGGCCCTCCATGTTCCTGTTGATCACGTCGTAGGACAGTGTGATGATGACCCTGAGACAAACACAAAGCTTAGTCCTTTCCATTCCTGATATAAAACCCAGTAATGAACCTACGATTTAACCAGCAGCGTGGTGGTGAAGCGGCGAAGTCTGGGAGTCTTGAACATCCCCAGGAACGTGTCCATCTGCTTGTTCAGCTTGCTCTGCTCGTTCATCTTCTCGCGATAGTGCTTCACGAACTCATCGAACACTGAGTCCTCCACCTGGCGACCATTAAACTTGGCCACTCGTTTCAGGCAGGCCACCGCCTCGTCGTACCTCTTCTTGGTCAGCAGCCACTGGGCACTTTCGCAGATCAGCAGCGGATAGATGAGCACTCCCAGAGCTGGCAGAGATGCCAGCCAGAGGTAGCGACGCCAGTTGCCAATCCACATGGCAAGCCAAGGCGAGGTCATCAGTCCGAAGCAGTAGAACACAGCCAGGATGATGTTGAGGCCGAAGGTGCGGCGCTTGGGACTCAGGTACTCGAAGACTGTCCTCAGAGGCATTTACTAATTACTAAACACTTCTAGCCCTAATAGCTTTATAAATGACTTACCCAAGATGTACATAAGATAGTACATGGTATCCGTGGATAATCCCGAGACGAATCTAGAGAAGGCAAACCAGGGCAGGGTGTGCACAAAGGAGGTGATGAAGTCACCAGTCGCACCGGATATAGCGGCCATCAGCATGGCGGGCAGTCTGCCAATGCGGTCCGACAGGAAGCCGAAGGAAATGGTTCCCACCACCGAGCCCAGGAAGAAGAAGGACTGACCCACCGCCGGTTGGTGCGACTTGTCGCACACCCACTTCAGTTCGGTGGTCAGGCTCTCGTAGCCGTTCTCCCTTTCGAAGATCCAGTCCTGGCAGCTTTCCACCTCCGAGGCCACTCCTGTGCCATTGATCACCGCCGAGAGAAGGGTGCAGGAGGGGTGCGTCACATTGGAGTAAATGGATCGCACTTCCGCAGCACTCAAACCCATCAAGTCGTCATGGGAACACCTAAAATCAGGTATAACAAACGGCATTAAGAAAAGCCATGTTTTATCCACTAAATATTTAAATTTAAGGTCCACTAATCAAAAAAAAGGAATGGTAAAAATTAATATCTGACTCTTGAATTTACAATTTTATATTCAATATTAAAATTAAATATAAAATCACAGAATTAAATAATGCATGTTAAATTGCATGGTTTAATAATAAAACATTTTAATAAATGTGGAAAATATAAGATCTAAAGTGAAAAATATTTAAACTTTTTCCACATTTTTGCATTTACTACGTTTTATTTACCAGGGTAGTAGCAATTAGGCTTTCACAATTCCAATTGTTATCTCTTTTGTTAAAATCTTGTTTTTGTTCAAATATATTGAAAAAAGTGCATCTGAAGGCTTTAAAAAAATTTAAGGGAACCACACTTGTATACCGCTATTAAAAATTGCAAACTTATATGCTTCAGTCCGCAAACGAACCTAACTAGTAGGTTAAAATATTGGTTCAACCTTCGCGTTCTTTACGGAAATGTTTTATTTCACTTTCGCAACTTAAGTAAATTACTTACCAATGCTCAGGTGTAAAAGTAATAAGAGTCTGTGAGAAATAGTGAAGCGAGCTGAGTATATTCGTGTAGCCGTACAGAATGAGTATGACAAACTGAAACCGACCGAAGTTTCCACACTTCTCAAGCACGCGATCAAAATCCATGCTGATCTCGAAGGAACTTCACTTGGGTATATAATTCACTTAACTGACTGGGACACTTTGTTGATGTGGGCAATGCGCTGATTCTTTCAAGTTAAGAGTCAACTACATTCTGCCTGTACGCTCAGTATTTTGACGCTGGGCTTGGATCGGCGGCTGCCTTATATAGTATAAAGATATAGGCGTTGCCCCTGATTAGGATGGGTAATTAGTAACAGAGATTGGCTGGGCAATCTCCCTCGCTTCTTTTGGGGTGTGTGCCGATGATAAAAAGCTGAGACCAGAGCAAACACTCAAGTGAACAAACCAAAGGAACCCTACACAGGAGTTGTTTATTTACACAGCATAAAAATACAACATCACGAAGAAACAATGCAGCATCAACAGAGCCATGAAATTATTATTTTGTTGAACTTAGTAAGTAATGAATGGCCTTGATTTTCAGTTACTTTGATGACACTTTAAAGAAATGCGTCTTTCTCCGCTTATCAGGCATTTAACTTGGTCAAGTTACGGACGCTCTCGACAATTTCGGTTGTCAACAAGCATTTTGCCTTTGATTTATAACAGATTTAGCCACTGCCGTGTTGTAAGTCACGCCTGAAATGGAATCTGCTTTTACGGGGGGATTAGCCGAATGCGCGGATTCTTTGTTTGTCGCCTGACACTTTAATGGGTTCCCGTTTAGAGATATAGATTATATATAGTATAGATTACAGGTCTGCCTCTCGGAGGCGCCAAACGTAGCCTCTCAAAAAGGCAATCATAATTTGCTTATCACGCCGGGTAGTAAAAGTTCCGGAACCATTGTCGTGATCCATATAAATCACGCCCCAGACAGACGCTACTGAAGTTTGAACAAGCCAAATTAGGGTCCCTAGGCAACCACTGAAGGGATGTCTGAGCCAGGGATTAAATAATTTAGTTTCTGGAACTGATTGTATGATGAAATCGCATACATAATCCATATTTATAGCTTTAAAGGCGTAACTTTTACTGCCGCCCATAAAAATAAAGACACCAGTAAACATGTTTTGTTGTTATTTTGTTTTGTCTTTTATTATATGTTTAATACATTTATTATAACTACTTGGTAATTTCGTTTGCCGACTCCAACTGGAAATCCGATTTATTCGACTGCAGTCTGCGTGAAAAGCAGGGGAAGAAATACCACTTCTCGCCCTTGGCAAACCCTTCACCTTCATCCAGCGTCTGTGGGAGTTGCCTAGGGTAGAAAATTACAGGTTAATTTACGACTCTAAGAAATGCAAACTACCCAAAACTTACTTGTGCAAAGTCTCTGGAAGAGTCAGGCACAAACAACCGCCGATGATGAGCAGGAAACTGATCAGAAGAGATGGCAGCGGTTTGTAGAACGTGCCCAGGTAGATTATGTAGGAGCTGAAGAAGGCAAAGGCATTGCCCACCACATGGATGTTGGCCACCCCCTGTCCCCGCACACTGGTCGGTATAATCTCCGCCGCGTACTGGGCCTCCGCATCGTAGGCCACCACCGCTCCGAATCTCGCCAGGCACACCATGAAGCCCAGCAGTACAGAGTAGTTAGCGGGATCGAGGGTGCCCACTAGATACCCCGTGGTCGCTGTGATCAAGGCACCCACAAAGAGCGAGGCACAGGCCATGCCCTTTCGCCCGATTTTGTTCTGGAACAGGATAATGGTGAGGCCGGCAGGCAGCACAACGAATCCCGAGTAGGAGAATAGTTTGAAGGGCGATATGCCCACGCCCTCCATGTTGCGACTCAGGATGTCGAATGCAATCGTGATGATCATGCTGGGGAAATGTGAACCGAAATTAATAAAAGTTAATTAAGCTATTTATCGTCTCAACTCACGATTTGATCAACAGTATAATGGTGAATTTTCTCAGTCTTGGTGTCCTCAGCATGCCCATAAAGGTGTCCGTGGATGTCTTTTGCGAGCTGTTCAACTTCTCGCGGTAGTGCTTGATGAACTCATCGAAGACAGAGTCCTCCACCTGGCGCCCATTGAACTTGGCGATGCTCCGCAGATTGTTGACCGCCTTGTCGAACTTTCCCTTGGTCAGCAGCCACTCGACGCTTTCGTGTAGACACAAAGGATAAATAAGCATTCCCAGGGCTGGAAGGGATGCCGCCCAGAGGTAACTGCGCCAGTTGCCCAGCCAAATGGCCATCCAAGGCGAGATCATCAGACCGATGCAGTAGAAGACGGCCAGGATGATGTTTAGCCCAAAGGTGCGGTGCTGCGGACTCAAGTACTCGAAAACTGCAAAAGATTTTCATCCTTACATGCTCTTTAAAACTGTAGGTTAAGGTCAGTTACCCAAAATGTACATCAGGACATACTGGGTGTCCATAGAAAGGCCGGAGACGAAGCGCGTGAACGAGAACCAAGGCAGACTGCTCACAAAGGAGGTGAAGAAATCCCCGGAGGCTCCCGTCAGAGTGGTCAGAACGCAGGCAGGCAGTCGTCCTATGCGATCGGCCAAATACCCAAAGAAAATACTGCCCAGGGCGGAACCAATGAAGAAGAAGGACTGACCCACCGCCAGTTTGTAGGAATCATCGCAGACCCACTCGAGCTGTGTTCAATATTTCGAACGGGAGTGTTAAGCCACTAAATGTGTTTTCTACTTTCGGGCTGAAACTTACCTCTGTGGTTATGCTCTCGTAGTTGCTTTCCCTATCGAAATCCCAGGAGCTACACTTGTAATCTCGATGTGAAGTCAGGTCCGCATCGTACTGAATTATATTACAAGCCAGCAGTACGGTTAAATTATGGGAGGTATCTTCCACAGGCGGAGAACAACTAAAAAGAATAAACATTGTTAATATAAAAGCTCCATATGCTATTGCATAATATGTTTTTTCCATTTTGTTTTAAATTTAACTTAAATTTGTTTCATAGATTTCACTTTTAATTGTAAGTACGTATTATCTTAATATCTTTTTAAGCAAGTTTTTTTTCTAATTAAATTTAAATTAAATTTTAACCATAATCAACTAGGAACTTTTTTTTATGAAATTTAAGCATTCATTTATTATTGACTTAATTTTTTAGTAAAACTGTTGGGATATTCCCGCTTACCTGTGCGAAGGCGTAAAGCTAATAAGGGTCTGCGAAAAGTAGTGCAGCGAGGACACTATATTTGTGTATCCATAGAGACCCAGCAGAAGGATTTGGTAGGGGCCAAAGTTGCCACACTTCTCCAGGACACGCTGGAGATCCATTTCGTCACATGAATCCACTCCGATCGCAAACCAGCAACTGATGCCAACGAAGGGGCCGAGCAGCTGGTATATACTTTATTCTGAACGCTGATCATATAATGTTAATACACTGCAAACATAGAAAATCTGCTGTTAGTTTTATCTCACATGGGGGCATGAGGAAGAACGAAATCGTTTGGACCATTTCCGACTTCTGAATCTGTTTTGGCTTGTGCAGAGGTACGCCCGAGTCCCGTGTGCTGATTATAAGTGTTACGTCCGCACAACATAAGTACATATGCCCTGCGTTATCTAAACGGGTGTGTTATGGTGCTGACTGGTAAATGGAAAGAGGTAAAACTAAACAACGCATTACAAAGGCAATAAAAAATAAAATTTGCTACTATGCTTTACCTATGTCACTTAAAAACAGTTGTTATATGTGGTCAATCAGTTTATTGTTCTATATGGCAGTAGGAGTATCATACTACTTTTTTAATAGATCCTTAAAATCATAAAAAGACATATTTAAAAGGCCAACAGCTACGCTTGGTCATGTTGTTAAAGAATTTTAAAAACAAGAATCCGATACCATGTTTTCAAATATAAATTTTTGAACTTATACGTACTTTTTTATTTATTTAGTAGAATAAGTAGGTTTCAAAACCATCGGCGTAATCTATATAAAGTTGGAACAAATGGATTAGACAGATATGAGTATTGGAAATGCGATCACAATATGATGAAATCCGGAATGTTAAGTATAAACTCGACTATATCGTTCTTTCTTATTTTTTAACACATTAAGTCAGGTCTTAGTTCTAAAAATAATTATATTAAATACATAAAGTATTATTATTACCTTTATACCCGAAAACCTGTTATTAAAGTCTTTAAAGTGTTAAAACTTAATAGAACATTAAACATGTTTCGCTTTAATTTGTATTTGTTTGTATTAAAACTAAACACTTTTATTATATTTGTAATACATTTATCGTAACTACTTTGTAATACCGTTGGCCGACTCCAATTGAGAATCAGATTTATTCGACTGCAGTCTGCGCGAAAAGCAGGGAAAGTAATACCATTTCTCGCCCTTGGCAAATACTTCGCCTTCCTCCAGAGTCTGCGGGAGTTGTCTAAAGGAGAGAAATATATGTTAATTTAGGACTCTAAGGAATACTAACTACAAAATGCTCACTTGTTCAAAGTTTCTGGAAGAGTCAGGCACAAACAAGCACCGAATAGCATAATGAAGCTGATCAATAGAGATGGCAGCGGCTTGTAGAAAGTCCCCAAGTAGATGACGTATGGACTGAAGAAGGCAAAGGCATTGCCCACCACATGGATGTTGGCCACCCCCTGTCCCCGCACACTGGTCGGAATAATCTCCGCTGCGTACTGGGCCTCCGCATCGTAGGCCACCACCGCTCCGAATCTGCCCAGGCTCACCATGAAGCCGAGGAGTACGGAGTGCTTCTCTGGATACAGAGTGGCCACCAGGTAACCAGTGGTCGCTGTGATCAAGGCACCCACGAAGAGCGAGGCGCAGGCCATGCCCTTTCGCCCGATTTTGTTCTGGAACATGATAATGACCAAGCCAGCAGGCAGGTAGCAGAATCCCGAGTAGGAGAAGAGCTTAAAGGGGGATAAGCCCACGCCCTCCATATTGCGACTCAGGGTGTCAAAAGCGATGGTAATGATCATTCTGGGAAGATTTGGAAAAGTGTTAAAAGACTGAAAAATATAAACACTCATCTCAACTTACGATTTAATCAACAGAATAATGGTAAACTTCCTCAGTCTTGGTGTCCTCAGCATGCCCACAAAGTTGTCGGAGGAAGTCTTTTGCGAACTCTGCAACTTCTCGCGATAGTGTTTGACAAATTCGACGAAAACAGAGTCCTCCACCCGCCGTCCATTGAACTTGGCGATGCTCCGTAGATTGCTGACTGCCTTGTCGAACTTTCCCTTGGTCAGCAGCCACTCGGCGCTTTCGTGGAGGCAAAAAGGATAGATTAGCATTCCCAGGGCTGGAAGGGATGCCGCCCAGAGGTAACTGCGCCAGTTGCCCAGCCAAATGGCCATCCAGGGCGAGATTATCAGACCGATGCAGTAGAAGACGCCCAGGATGATGTTCAGTCCGAAGGTGCGGTGCTGCGGACTCAAGTACTCGAAAACTGCAAGAGATTTGTATCTTTACGTGCTCTTTAAAACTGAACGTTAAGGTCAGTTACCCAAAATATACATCAGGTAATACTGGGTGTCCATGGAGAGGCCGGAGACGAAGCGCGTGAACGAGAACCAAGGCAGACTGCTCACAAAGGAGGTGAAGAAATCCCCGGATGCTCCCGTCAGAGTGGTCAGAACGCAGGCAGGCAGTCGTCCTATGCGATCGGCCAAATACCCAAAGAAAATACTGCCCAGGGCGGAACCAATGAAGAAGAAGGACTGACCCACCGCCAGTTTGTAGGAATCGTCGCAGACCCACTCGAGCTGTGTTCAATATTTCGAACGGGAGTGTTAAGCCACTAAATGTGTTTTCTACTTTCGGGCTGAAATTTACCTCTGTGGTTATGCTCTCGTAGTTGCTTTCCCTTTCGAAATCCCAGGAGCTGCACTTGTAATCTCGATGTGAAGTCAGGTCCGCATCGTACTCAATTATATTGCAGCTCAGGAGTGTTAAATTCTTTGGAGAGGCTTCCTCAGGTGGAGAACAACTAAAATAGAAGATCATATCATCGAAAATTCACCTTTTGACCTTGAGGCATTTTTTGTCATTTGCAAAATTTGTGGTACTGTATATATGTTGATGAACAACTTTGCAATTTGATTTTTTTATTTGACACACCTTGTTGCAGTTCACATAGTAACGTTTTTTTTTTATATATGTTGTCAAAATAAATTAATGTGCACTCCTGATCGGCATGGTACGAAAAAAAAACCATTAAATTAATTGATTCTACAAAAATTTTATTTTTGTGTTTAATGACATGAAGTTTTCCATTGGTTTGGTATCAATACTAATGTAATGCTTTATTCAACAAAATTTTAAATTGCTTACTTATTCAATAATAATTTTGTGTTATTTAGTACTGCGTTGAATTTCATCATTACTTATCAAAGTGGATGGCAAGTCCCCGCTCACCTGTGCTCTGGTGTGAAACTTATGATGGTCTGTGAGAAGTAGTGCAGCGAGGACACTATGTTCGTGTATCCGAAGAGACCCAACAGCAGGATTTGGTAGGGGCCAAAGTTGCCGCACTTCTCTAGGACACTCTGGAGATCCATTTCGCCACATGAAGCCGCTGCACTCGCAATCTAGCAACTGATGCGGACACAGGGGTCACAGCAGCTGGTATATACCCAATTCTGGGAGCCTGCCTAATGCCCTAATACACTGCAAACACAGAGTATCTATTATAGCTTCTGGTTTATCTCGCACGGGGGCATTAGTAGGAGAGAAAGCGTTTGAACAATTTCCGACGTCTGGCTTCTGTTTGGCGTGAGTAGAGTTTTTTCCGAGTCGCATGGGATGTGTTTATTAGCAGCTAAGCAGAGCCCTATCTTTATGATAGCCTTACAATTTCAATAGACTTATGGTGTCTTGCAAATAGAAACAAGTAAGTCCGGCTAAACAATGTCGCGTCGGAATTACACAGAGTAATATTTTAGTAATAGTGCTCTTAAAATGTGGAATATCAAATAAGCAAACTGATGCAACGCATGGCAGATAAAATATATATATATATATATCTGATTAATATCTAAATTAACGGTATTGTTCTTATACATAACTTTTTGCTGAAATTTATAAGTAAATCTGATATCATATTTCAAGACATTTTTATTTATTATTTGCACACTTTTCTTGTGTAAAGTGTACACTAATTGTAACCTAATTCTAAAAATGTAAGTCTAAGTCTTTGTAACCGTTGTTTTTATCATAAACACTTATCATTTGGTGGGCTTTACGGAAAAACTACGAGTGCAGTGATAGTATCCAAGTGACGTCCATTGTCTACGAAAACGATCCACGTGCCAACTCAAAAGTAGACGGCAGATTCCATTGATTGCGAGTACATCTTGACGTTTTGGCTGGCCAGCGTGGCCGCAGACTGAGTGCGTTTCTCCAGAAAACCGAAGGTGTACCAGCGATCGTTCTTTCCGAACTTCTCGCCATCCTCCAGCGAAGTGGGCAGCGTGCGGTGCAGGGTCTCTGGCAGCAGGAGGCAGAGACACGCCCCCAACAGGGACAGCACACCCAGGATGATCTCGGGCAGCGGCGAGAAGATGCTCCGCGTGAACAGGATGTAGGCGCTGAAGAAGGTGAAGGCATAGCCGGCCACATGGACGGCCGCCACTCCCTGGCCGCGAACGCAGGTGGGGATCAGCTCGGTGGCATACTGCGCCCCCGAATTGTAGGCCACGGTCACCCCGAAGCGACCCACCACGGAGAGGCTCACCAGCAATGTGGTGGCTGTGGGAATTGGAAAAGATAACTGATTAACGCGTTTTAGATGTAATATGAGTAGGAATATAAAGTAATTCTAATGCAAGTCGCCATTAATTTATACACGTGTATATAGTGTATTGTCCAAAATTATTTAAATAACTATTGTAGGCATAAAATTTCTAATGTTTTGCTTTTAAAATACTAATTGTGTAACAATTATATTACCACTCTGGAACTATATTATTCAACAAGTAGAAATACGTTTAAATCTAAACAAAATAATTGGAAAAAACTAAATAAAATATTTTGAAGAAAAAACAAGCAGTGCTGATGAATATTTCATAACAAATATCAAATCTGCTTTGATTTGCTTAATCAATAAAAATCCTCCACATTTGCAAATTTGCAAGCAGTATCAGCTGTAATATACTTAATTTCTTTATATGGATATTTATTTCCCTCATTTTATATCACTAAATTTTCCTATGTGAATAAAATAAGATATGTAATAAGTGAGCAATATTTTTGTAATTGATCGTGGATTATATTTATTTATTTTAATATAATTTTTATATCGTTGCAGAGGGCATCATAAAATTGGTCTGAAGGAACTCAGTGAAGGAGACAATGCAAAAATATTCTTGATCATCATCATAAAAAATCTTTTCGATCGGACGACTATATCCTATAGCTGTCAAAGCAACAATTAGGTAAAAGTCAAAAAATGTTGTTGTTTCTAAGAATAATACAGGTGTATTCTCTTTTAGCCTTAAATAATTTTTTCCTTTCTCGTTACGATTGATAACAAAGCCGCATACTTTGGCAGATTAACTTCTCGTTGAAATCCAACAAATAGATATTCATCACTCAACTGTAAGTATACCCCAGGCATACTGTGATCGGTCCCAACTCACTCTTATCCGATGCAGAGGCTGCGAAGATGATGCCCCCGGTGACCGAGATGAAAATGCCACTCAGCAGCAGGGAGGCGGAGGCCATCGCCTTGCGTCCGATGCGATCTTGCAGGGCGATGATCAGCAGGCAGGCCGGCAGAATTGCGGTGGCGCTCAGCGAGAACATCACAAATGGCGAAATGCCAAGGCCCTGAACGTTTCGCGATACGGCATCGTAGCAGAGGGTGATGACCATGCTGCGCGTGGGTGTTGGAAATTAGTAAAAATTCATCTAGTGCCGAAACCATTAGCCATCATCTGGCGGCTACTCACGACTTGAAGAAGAGGATCAGGGTGTGGCGGCGCAGGCGGGGCGTCTTGAACAGGTGCAGCAGGTGGGGCGAGGTCTTGTGGTTCTGCTGGCTGAATTTGCACTCCTCGACGAACTCCTCGAAAGAGCTCTCCTCCACCTGCCTTCCATTGATCCTGGCCACTCGCTTCAGGCAGACCACTGCCCTGTCGTACTTCTGCATGGAAATCAGCCACTGAATGCTTTCTGGCACGACTAGGTAGAAAAGTGGCACCACCAGCAGGGGCAGGGAGGTGGCCACCAGGAATCCCCGCCAGCTGTGCATGAGCACGGCGATCCAGGGTGCCGCCATCGAGCCCAGACAGTAGAAGAATCCAATGCAAATGCTTAGGCCAAGGGTGCGCACTGATGGACGCATGTACTCCATAACTGTCAGGTGAAATTAAATAATATTTAACTATTACACAGTGCAAAACAGAATTAATAAAGGCAATATACAATGTTGGATTCTAAAAATAATAAATATGAAAGGATTTAAAACCTATTAAATCCGACTAACATTTTACGGTTGGGTCTGCAAAATATAAATAAACATTTCTGAAAACAATGAATTTTATTATTGCAAAGTAGAAAAAAAAAATAAAAATAAAATTTGCATGATTTGGTATTGGGATTCAAAAAATAGCATTTCATATTTTTTAAATTTGAAAGGCATTTTGTAAAAAGTTTTCAAAGCAATCAAAGAAAAAGACTATCATTATTTTTTAATTCATGCATAGTTCAACATAGCTAAAGACATGAAAATAAAATTTCTATCTTTTTTTAAAAAATACCATACAATTTTTGCATCGCCAGCTATAAAAAGGTATGCCTTAAATGGTTCTGATGAGTAATTTCAGAATAGCGATTACACTCTATATCTCAAATAAAGTTGCTCAATGCTTTTAATGCTATTAATGTATTTCAGTTTCCTTTAAAACACAACGTGGACTTGAACTCACCCAAGATGTACATCATCACAAAGTTGCTGTCCGTGGCAATGCCCGAAATCATGCGGAAAATACAGAAAAGCGTAACGTTGCTGCTCCAAATGGTCAGTAGGTTGCCGGTCATGGCAATCAGATTGGCCACGATCAGAATGGGCAGACGACCGACCACGTCGGCCAGATAGCCCAGCACCATGGAGCCCACCACCGAGCCCACAAAGAACATGGACTGACCAAGGGTGAGTTTCCAGGCATCGGCGCACACCCAGTCCATTTCGCTGGGAAAACTCTGGTAGCCCATGTACAGATCGTAGTCATAGTTGTGGCAGGTACTCGGGCTGCTAATGTTCCGGCTTAGTGGCAGGCAACTTGACTCAGCCGGCGGTTCTATGTTGGCGGCCAAACCATCTGCACACCTGGTTGTATGAGTAATGCGTTAAGTATACGACGTGGTGGACAGCGAAGGAATACGTACCAGTACTTGGGAACAAAACTGATGATGGTCTGGGAGTAATAGTGCAGGGCTGAGAGCACATTGATCACACAGAAGAGCAGCAGCATCAGCAGTTGAAGACGGCCAAAGTCGCCGCACTTCTCCAGAATCTTGTCCACCTCGAGCATTGTGTTCGCACCATCCACTGGCCTCCGTTCACGATTCACGATTTACGATTTACGATTCTATCCGGGAATTGAGAAGAGCCGGGCGTGGGACAGACTCCGACTCATCTTCACCGCTGCATCTGCGATTCGCCTAATTGTCTGCCATGAATTTCGCTTAATTTTTAAAACCAATTAGTGCGCTCGGTAATTCCTGCCAGACCGAGATCAGAAAAATTAGTGTAGATTATGTTTGACAGCTGCGCTCTTTCGTCATATGTTGTGTAATTTTACTAGAGATCTGTACTCTGCGTGGAGCTGAGAAACTGGCTGTAGGTCGTAAAAGTCTCAGTTTTTGGATTTATTTATTTTGAATTAAAAGAAAGTAAAAGTATCGTGTTTTAAAAAAAATAAGTTTTGTTCGAGACACTTAAAAAAAAAAGAACTTTTATTTGTAGCAATAGAGATTGCATACTTGCAACACTTTTTAAAACTTTAGAATTTCTTTATAAATTGTAGCATTAAAGCACATTTAACTTCATTATATTTATCATCAAGATAAAGAGCACCGAACTCTGTGGATTTTTTCACAGCGCATTTATTTTACGAACCCAATTAAAAAATGCGAACTTTGGATTTAGACAAGCTTGGGGATCTGTCCTCAGGTGCAGATGCTCGCTAAAAGATGGCTTTTGAAATTGCGATAAGGACTGACTTTTGAAATCATCGAAATCGGACTGTCGCTGATGAACTCTGCGTAGTCACTGACCGAGAATTGCGCGCCTCGAGCGAAATTGCAATGTCAACCGCACGGAACGAAAGTAAAGTTTGATGTGAGGCTTTCGACATGCCTGCTTTCGTATTTTCGTGAAAACGAAATGGCCCAATACACGAAGGAATGCAAAAAAAAAGTATATAATCCATTATAATACCCATTACTTTTGGTTTTTTAATCAACTTTTAAATTAAACACTTAAGGTACCGATGCCAACTATCAATTTATATATATATATGTTTATAGTCGAGCTCCCGGATACCCAGGACTATTACACTCCAAGCTGTTCTTAGTGTTCCAAAATATTTGATAATACCTATTAATGTATACAACATTTTAATAACAAAATACATATTAAATACTTTTAAAAAATGTATTATTTAATTTTATTTTATTTACTTTTTTAGTTGGATTACTGCGATTTGACTCCAATGATGTGATACCACTTAATGTGATAGTACTCCTTATAATGATGGAAACAAATAACAAACCAATTTCATGACGACAAACTGTTCAAAATTTTAGGCCTTTGTTTTGTTTACTGCTATGATGAGGAGATAAATATAGATTTTTGAGGTCGGTGATTGCAAACATGCAATGCTGCTTACTTAAAGTTATTATAGCTACAATTTAATATGTGACGTCAGAAAAGGCATATGTATTTAAATTGCATACAGATGAGCATTCGCTATTTTGTATCTTTACAAAAAAAAATTGTTTTAAATTGTTTGTAACTGTTTTCTTTTTTAAAAGTTAAGCTTGACTGATTTTTGATTGGTTTTTAGCTTGTAATAATCTAAGATTATACTTTGCGTAATATATGTGATTATTGTTCTTTGGTAATGTTTTATCAGATACCAGTGTGTAAGGTCAAATTAGCATATAAATATAATAAGCGATGTCGTTAAGGTACAATTTTAATCACAAACAACTTTTTTTTAGAACATTTTTAGGTTCTTTGGTTATTTTTTTATTTAACATTAAACGAATTTTCTTTTATCAACGTTTTGCTTGCCATGTAACCATAAGCATAAGCTATTTATTTTAAATTAATAACATTCGTTTCGAACATATATTTAATCAGTCTTCGAGAGGGCTTTTTTATTAGGTGACCATGTACAATGATCGTTTAAAAATAAAACCTTGCTAGGTACAAATTTTTTAAACTTTAATCAGTCTTTAATTTCGAGTTACACACTTTCAGCACCAATATTTTTTTCTTTTTTACGAAGGCAAGGAAAATAAAGGAAGCCTTCGTCCAGGGCAAACTTTTCCCCATCCGCCAAAGTTTCGGGCAACTTCCTGAAAAGAAAACATTTAAAAAAAAAATGTTAGTAAGTTAAACAAAACAAGAACGGAAGCAAATATATATACCCTTGCAGATATTGAAAAAATAAAATAATCTTCGAAATATACAAGTTTCGATTTATAAAGCTATGATGATTTTCAGCTAAATTGTTTTCGATTTGAATAAAATTAAAATCGTTATTATTTTTATATTAAAAAGAAATAAAAACACAATCATGACAAATAGAGAGGTTACAATTTGTTTAACATATTTTTTTTGTAATATTCCGACTGTTCTCTTGAGAGCTATATGATAAAGTCTTCCGATTTTAATCAAGTTTAAGCCGTCTGAGGGTCGGAGTTATAAGTACCTTTTTGCAAGGGCAAAAAAGGTAAGAAGTCTTAGTAAAGTCAACTTACTTGTTCAAGGTCTCGGGCAAAGTGAGACAAAGTCCGGCACCGAAGAACATCAGGCAGCTGATGAAGATCGAGGGGAGGGGCTTGTAGAACTGGGCCAGGTAGATCACATAGAAGGCCAGTGAGCTGGAGGCCAGTCCAACCACATGGATGTTGGACACCGCCTGACCTCGCACACTTGTGGGTATGATCTCTGCCGCATATTGGATCTCCGCATCGTACGAAACGGTGGCTCCAAAGCGACCCAGACCCACCATAATGGCCAGAAGCAGAGCGTTCTTCGTGGGATCCAGGTTGGCTATCAGAAAACCCGTCGTCGTGGTGATGAACCCACCTACAAAAAGGGCGGAGCAGGCCATGCCCTTGCGTCCGATCTTGTTCTGCAGCAGCAGGATGGCCACTCCCGCCGGCAAATAGACGATCGAGGTGAAGGAGAAGAGCTTAAAGGGCGAAGTGCCCAGACCCTCCATATTGCGATTGATCACATCGCAGGAGAGGGTTATGATGACTCTACCAGGGAAAGCAGGAAAATTATTATGTTTTCCTAATCACAAAGCTATTAAAGCACTTACGACTTCAGGAGCAATGTCAAAGTAAAGCGTCGCAGTCGTGGCGTCATAAACATGGCTAGGAAAGTGTCCTCCTGACTGTTTAGTTTGTACTCTTGTTGAGCCCTTTCGCGATAGTGCTTGACGAACTCATCGAACACGGAGTCCTCCACCTGGCGACCATTGAACTTGGCCACTCGTTTCAGGCAGGCCACCGCCTCGTCGTACCTCTTCTTGGTCAGCAGCCACTGGGCACTTTCGCAGATCAGCAGCGGATAGATGAGCACTCCCAGAGCTGGCAGAGATGCCAGCCAGAGGTAGCGACGCCAGTTGCCAATCCACATGGCGATCCAGGGCGAAGTCATTAGACCAAAGCAGTAGAATACAGCCAAGATGATGTTGAGCCCAAAGGTGCGACTTTTCGGGCTCAGGTACTCGAAGACTGTGAAGTGTGTTTAAATGTTTGCATCTCGTAGAATGCCTTAGCTTACCCAAAATGTACATGAGATAGTACATGGTATCCGTGGATAGTCCCGACACGAATCTGGAGAAGGCAAACCAGGGCAGGGTGTGCACAAAGGAGGTCACGAAGTCGCCTGTGGCTCCAAACAAGGTGGCCATTAGCAGGGATGGCAGCCGACCTATTCGATCCGAGAGATAGCCAAAGGTTATGGTGCCCAGAACAGATCCCATGAAGAAGAACGACTGGCCCACTGCCGGATAATGGGATTTGTCACAGACCCATTTAAGCTGCAGTCGAATGAGGAAGTAATTAGTTAGTAAGAAATAATTATACTCTTCACTTGTAGAGTAATATATATATGTTCTCGATCAGGATCACTCTGAATGTATGTACTGTCACTATGAGTCATGTTTGACCGTAGGTGTTGGACTCTGTTTGTGTGTTTCAGTCATTATTAAAATTGGGCTGCTAGTTTAGAAGGTATAAGGTTATGAAGTCCGCTGAGTAACGGGTATCTATTAGTCGGGAAACTCGACTATAGCGTTCTCTTTTGTTTTCTAATAAGTGTTTCAAATCGAATCGATTAGTTGTACCTCAGTAGTGATGCTTTCGTAGCCACTCTCCCTCTGGAAAATCCAATCCCTGCATTTGCGACCCTCTGCCACTACGCCCATGCCGTCGACCACGCCCAAGAGGGGTGTGCAGGATGATTCGGAGATGTTTGAGTATATCGATCGCAGCTCCTTCACACTGAGACCCTCGAGGTCAGCATGGGAGCACCTGGAATGGGAAAGATCGAAGCTATTTACCTTATAAAAGATGTAGTTATTTCAACCCACCAATGTTCGGGTGTAAATGTGATGAGGGTCTGCGAAAAGTAGTGCAGTGATCCCAGAATATTGGTGTAGCCGTACAGCAGAAGGATCACTACTTGAAATCTTCCATAGTTTCCACACTTATCCAGAACCTGACTAAAATCCATCAAGCGTTTTGTCATTGACTAGAACCGTTTTCAGCGACTGGCAGTTTCAAACTCTCTTTCGGAACTGATTATAAGCTTTTACAAGCTACTGTAGAAATAGCAATTTATTTTTTTAAACACAATGTTTGCAAAACATCTGGATGGGACTTATGGGTTGGAAAGATATTTGCCAATTGTTTTGGCAGCTGTCAGCCCTTCAAGCGGGAAATTATCGCCAAGGGATGTCACATCTCTCGCGAAATAAAATATCTAAAATTCCCAACACCTTTTTCTGTTATTTTGTAATTTATCAATTAGTGGCTGGATTTCCTATTTAACCTTATTGGCAACTAGGTTGCATTAGCCTGACATTCTTGTTGATCAATTGCTTTGATCTTCTGGTTAAAAATAGTTAAAACAGATGACATCGACTGACTGTAGTTGGCACGACTTTGATTTTTTGTTATACTTAGTTGTCGCATAAGCAGACCCGACGGTAACAACAAGGCTACAACAATGCATGCAGCTGTCAATAGTTTTCCAGATGCCAGATACAAATTTGCAGCCATAAATTAAGCACACAAAACGGTAAACAGAGGAATTGTCGCAGACACTTGGCTGTGAGAAGCTGGAAAGGGTATTGTTCAAACAATCGAATTAGACGATTAGACGAAAAACCAATTATAAACATTGGGGGAGAAGGACTAAATTATATATTTTAAATCAAAAATACACCCTGAAAAAAAATCCTTGATTTAAGCAAAATATTTCATAATTTAAAGAGTAGTGAACTAAAAATGGCCTTAAAGATGAGTGACCATTTAGCAAGCCGTAAGTAATTATTATTATTATTTTAATATTATTCTTTAAATAAAGTAACTTTTTCAAAAATCAAGAAATTTTCTTTTCTAAGTGCAGTGTAATTTAAAAAAAAACACCCCATTCCAAATTTAATAAAACACTGATACTTAAACCTAAAGTAATTTCTTAAAAATTCTTGTTTTGTATAATCAACTTAATAAAGCTTGTTTTGCAATCGTTTCGTTAAAAAGGACAAAGAAAATGGTACTATCCAAATAAAGCGCTCAAAAGTGAGCCGTCATGCAGCTCTTTTTAGGGTATTATTAATGACATTATTTGCATAGACTATGAGTGTTTTTTTCGGCCTGGTCTCTGGGCCAGACTAATATGCCGACAGCGTCGCGTTGACCTTTCGCTTTATTAGGCGGCTGTGGCGGCTGTCTGCCCCTGTTCTCGCCCCCCTCCACCTCCTCCGCACCCCCTCCAGTTAGCCCCTGGCTTTGGGCCCGCTCCAGGCACTCTTAATTCAATTGTGGACCACCTGACCTTTTGCGCATGCGCAGCAACTGCCATTTCATATGGAGTCGCTTGGCGCAGCTTGTTCTTCTCAGCTAATTACGCGGCGACCAAATGCAGCAGGTCCTAGGCCAGTCGATACCAATGACGATGACGATGCCGATGCCGATGTTAATTTAACATTTCAATTGTGTGCGGCCAAATAAATTTTCACATAATTGCCAAAAAGTCGGTGTCCAAGTGGAGATTGAATGGCGAATCGAAAACGAATCGTAAACGCTGCAAAAGTGAAAGGGCAAAGCGCAGGCTGGCTATGGGGTCACTTTAAATGGTTTAGCGGAAGAATAACCTTTCTAAGTCGACACGATAACTGCGCCAAAGTTGAAGCCAGGCACACGATTTGCCGCCAGGTGGGCAAGAGGCCATCCCCGACCCCGTGTCGCCACTCCACTCCACTTCACTCCGACAAAAGTATACCTGCAACTCTGGCTGGCTGTTGTTGTTTTCTGCGCCATGTGCTTGATCGTTGGCCCAAACCGAAGACTTTGACTCTGGCCGGGTCTCTCTTGATCTGAAATTAGTTTATTGCCTCGACTGCGCCATGTGAAGCAGGCGACATTTGCCGCCGGTTGGCAGTATAAATGGCCAGAACTCCCAGCCAAAGCTTGCAGTTTTGGTTACTTCTTCTAGCGCGATCGTCGTCGAATTCAACGCTACTCCGGCCACTTTTTAAGTGGTGTGTGCTGAGCCTGTGACAACTGTGAGCGAGTGGAAAGGATACCCCTGCAAGACATCGTTATGCTGAAGGTGTGAAAAAAGGGCTGATCAAAGTGGAAATCTATTGTTTTTTTTATTTCATTTTTAAAATTACAATGAGTGTGGAACTGCTGTAAACAAAGTCGGTTTGGAAAGAGAAAATTCAAGTTATTAGTAAAACAATTATTTTGTTCTACCAACTTTGTCAAGGTTAACTAACTGATAACTATGTGGTACCCTTGTGAAAGAAATTTTAGTTAGTCTCTTGCGATTATTTCTTAAACAGAGGATCTGACTATGTCAGTGTGTCCGTTTTAACGCAAACTATTCTCTAAATGTTAGAGCTGTTTGTATGTACCTTTCACAATCGTTAAGCTGTCATAGGAAATAATAGGTAATAACTCAAGAAACAGTATAAGTATTGTTTTTTATTTAATTTGGACCACTTAATTTATAGCTGTAATAATAAAGTTCGGGCCAAATTGAAAAATGGATTTATTGATTTATTGATTTAAATAATGTATAAAGCCTAGGTTTACGGAAGTTCTAACTTATTTTCTTTTCTTTTATTTATTTTATACGTTTTTAAAAGCCCCTTTCAGCACAAATAGTGGATATATTATTTCGTTGATAGAAATCAAATATAAACATTGTCTAACTTCTGCCTTCTTCAATTTGCTTATAGATTTCCCTGCTGAGCGCCGTGCTCGGCATTGCCTATGCGGGCGTGATCGGACCCGGACCGTACTATGGCGGACCAGCTGGTCCCGGACCTCTGCACCATTACGGAGGATATGCGCCGGCCCACGGCCCGCTCCCCGGACCATATGTGGCGCCCAAGCCGGTCGCCCCCGAGCCCTACGATCCCGAACCGAAGTACTCCTTCGGCTATGACATTCAGGACGGGTATACGGGGGATCTCAAGTCCCAGCACGAGACGCGGCACGGAGATGTGGTGAAGGGCAGCTATTCAGTGGTAGATCCGGATGGCACCAAGCGCACCGTAGACTACACAGCCGATCCTCACCACGGATTTAACGCAGTGGTTCGCAAGGAGCCGCTGGCCTACAAGGCACCGGCCCACCTGGCACCCATCATCGCACCCGCACCCGCACCCGCTCCAGCACCTGCTCACCTTCATTACGCGGGTCCGGCCCCGGCGCCACCACTTCCGCCGGTGCCCAAGGCTCCTCTGCTCTCGTACCCGCTGGCCCTGGGTCCCCTCCACCGGGCCCCTGGCCCCGCCCCTGCTCCTGCTCCAGCTCCTGCACCAGCTCCAGCCCCAGTGCCTGTTCCGGTGGCTGCTCCCGTCCTGCCCACCGCCCACTTCCATGCCGCCTATCCTGCCCTGGCCCACAGTCCCTACGCCCACTATCCGGCTCCTGTTCCGGGTCCCGCTCCCGTGGATCCCCATGCCTACTATCACCACTGAGCGACTACGTTGTTCCCAACTATCTGAACTGATCTGATTTGATTCGACTTCATCTATCGCACGCAGCTTACACTGACCCAAAACTGAATCTCCGGCTTAATCTGTGCCAAACGCTCTGCTCTCAATCTCTTTTGCTGTGTTCTTCGAGGGATTTGATTCCGATCCAACATGTAGATTGATTTTAAGATACACCTAGCCTATGTACATGTCTTAGAAATATGTTGTTGAATGGTTAGTCTAGAGAAATAAACCGATAAAGGAAAAAAATACATTGTTTATTTGGGTTCTTCACAGATCATATAATTTATGATCAATTTTTTGATATTTTGATGATGATGTCTAAATTTTCAGAAATTTACCATACAGAAAAGTGACCAAAAACCTGCTGACTTAAATCCATAACTTTTCCTACAGACATCTGATTTCGAATTGGTATATTTTAAAAGTCTTGTGGATTAGTCCTCTAAAAATCTGCGTTTAAATCTTGGTTTGTAAATTATGATCGATGTTTTGTTATTTTGATGATGTAACCCCTTTCTTAATTTCCGAAAAATGGCTTTGCTGAAAAGTGACAAAAACCCTGCAGTTCTTAACCCATAACTTTTCTTACAGACGTCCGATTGTGAAGTGGTATATCTTAAAAGTCTTGTGGCTTAAGTCTCTAAAAATCTGCGTTTAAATCTTGGTTTGTAATTTTGGATCGATTTTTTGTTATTTTGATGATGTCACCCCTTTCTTAATTTCCGAAAAATGGTGTATTTTAAAATTGTTGGGTATTAGGTCTCTTAAAATCTACGCTGAATATTGTCTTGTTATTTCGGGCAGATATTTATTTATTTTTATTACGTAAGTATTTTTAAATTTCTGAAAATTAGATTCGTGAAAAAGTGACCAAAAACCAGCAGTTTTAAGTCCATATATATTTTCACAGACATTCTATTTCGTAGAGGTATATTTTTAAAGTCTTGGGGGTTAAGCCTCTAAAAATCTGCGTTTAAAAATTGTCTTGTAATTTCGAGTCCATTTTTGTTATCCTTATAATGTAAACCCTTTCTAAATTTCGAAAAAATGGATTCGTGGAAAAGTGACCAAAAACCAGTGGTTTTGATAAAGTTGATCCCAAAATTAAAAAAAAAAACAGAGGTATTTAAACTAAAATCCAACAGTTTAACACAGGTTCTTGACAACTAATCCCACAAACCTCATTCGAATTAAACAAAGCAACCGTTTAACGCAATTGATGTGTGTTTTATTTATTGTATCAACTTTTCGCAATGGTTCATATATGTATATGTTATATGATATCGTATGTGGCATATCTCATATGTATAATTATTCTGATTATGTATAAATATATGTGTGTTGTATATAAACGTTTTGAGTATGTCACCGTATGTTATAAATAAGTTTAGTTCAATGCATAATGGTTCATTTATTTATGTGTTATGTATAATAAGTTCTATGAGCTACCATTCGTAGAACAGATTGAAATGTGTTCGATATTGTTATAGACTCCATCCGACTTCAAAAGTTCATCATTATGCTGAGTGCATTTTGGTCTCGCTGCACTCGATTATGTATACAATTTAAATACGATTATAGTCCTTAGTTTTGTAATAAACGGTATCAAAAGATAGGTACAATTGAGTCATGCCTGCTACCACTAAATTAATTTTGAAGCTTCTATTCCAACACAAACGATTAGTTGCCAAGCTCGGGGCTTTGTGTCTATCTTTCTCCGTCTGATTGATTTGATGTGTAGGATTATTATTTAAACTAAGGGTTTTAGGCTGATATACCGTACAAAGTGCTGTGCTCTACAGGCCTTTACAATTGGACACAATTTAGCTAAGTAAATCTGCTTAGAATAAGAGACTAATTACGTTGTGTACTCGTACATACGGTAAATAAGCGGCTAATATAGCTCACAATATTCCTTGACAAGTGTATAATATTTAATTCATAATTTCTTCGTTGATTGTTTGGCTTCGTCGCGGATCGCTCCGACCGACTTCCTCATCGGGTTTACGCGCAAGGTATAAATCTATTGTAGACAACCACTGGATGATGAAGACTATTTCGGGATATGCTTGAATTGCTTTGCTTAATATCAGTTATCAGTATAAAATTGGGGACAAACAAATGGCAGCTTTGGCTATTCTCAACTCAGATCTCAGTTACTAGACTTGACTTGTTGATGCTTTTAAATTCGTCCTCGACTATGTACTCCTAGAAATGGTTTAGACCTATATAATTTATATATATATGCTTTTGAATGGGATATGTTTCACTAATGATTAGATAGATGATTTAAGCAAGTTTGTTTCGGTTTTGGTTCATTTGTTTATAACTTGAAACGGAGGGTTTTCTTTTTACTAAAATTGATTGGTTATTGGTAGGACATCTTTTCCACACTTCGATTCGGTTTGTTTGTTTGTTTTGGTACGGTATGGTTAGAAAAATACCTATAGTTGGGACATTTCACTACACAGAAGTGATTGAAAATTTAGCTAACTGCATTTTGTTGATAGCTATATTCTCTTTATATAATGCATTCTATATGTATAGTAATTTTGTGTGTAATTCACTAAGTGCCCGGAAATTCTAGTGATAAGTGAACCTAGTTAAAAAAAAAACCAAATCGATAGGTGAGAAACCTAAATTATAAAAGTTCCTAAAAATTTTTGCATATTGTCCATATTTTCGTTCTTAATTTGTTTTCAATTTCGTTAGCTAAACGGTGTTTCATGGGAAATAAACTCAAATTTTCGATATCAATATATAGCTAATATTTGATATATCTATAAATATTTATTGATCTGTGGCATACCTAGGTTAAAACTTTACTTTCTCTTTCGATTATATCTTTTGCTTACATTGATGTGAGTATTGTACGATATTGGGTATCAAGTTGTAGACATCTAAATTTATCGATTCGATTAGTTCTTTGTGGTGTTTAGGTATTTTAAAGCAGTTTCAATATCAATTGATTCGTAAGTATATCTGAGTTATCCAAGTGTAATTTGACTAGTTTCATTGGAATGGTGTGGATTATCTAATTTATTTGATGGTTCATGTAGTAGATAAGATTCGATTCGATTAAGTAGATAGAAAAAGGTGGTCCATTTAGTGATCGTATTCGTCAGCATATGATTAGGTTCATGAAGATAATGATGTCTACAAACCAAAAACAAAATAAGAGTAAAAAGTAAAGAGTCCGTGATGTTCAATAATAGTTCTTTAATTAAAAACATTGCAGCACACTTTCAGTTAGCACAGATATTAATATTAAATAATATTAAGAAATAATACACAAGAACTCGGAATAAATAAGAATACAAATTAAAACTGATTGCATGTTTCCACATTTACATTTAAAACGCTTATTGTATAAGCTTCGAAATGATATGAGAGCTAACCCAAAACGGGTTCGCATTGTTATCTTTGAAATTTGTTTTCCTTCTCAGTTTTTTGAAAAATGTGCAAGTAATAACAAGTTTGCATGTTCTAGCAAATTATGATTATGTTTCAATTATGATATAGGTGTGTTCATTATTATATCGTAGGTATATATGTATGTGTGGGAGTTACGGCTTATCTAATCTTTAAATCATTTCTGCATTATTTCCAGCTTTCAATATGTTTCACTTACTTATGCTTCGATATTTTTATATAATATATATAGATTTGTATCTTTCATAACTACTAAAAAAGTGTTATCAGCCCGCTGCAAGCTCTTCTTCAAATCCTCCTACATCCGATTCTTCGTATGCAATAATGTATAAATATATGTACCACAATAGTTATATGGATCTATGTTTAGGTGTTTGGGTATGATTATTTAGAATATGTTGCAGGCCAGCCAATTGGATTTCCTCACTTGCAGCTAATTCTTTTGGATTCTTATACTGTTTTTTTGTTTTGCTTTAGTTTAATGCCTTGCAGTTAAGTATCGAAGGTGTTATTTTTGCAGCTCCACGCATGTTTTCTCCGTAGTAGCTGTGGTCGTCGTCGTCGTCGTTGTGTTCGTAGTGTTGCTGCTCGACGTCTCGTCCAAATCATCGTTGATGCTCTCCATTTCCTGCTCGGTAATGACGGTCACCAGGCCACTAGAGTTCTCTGTAGAAAACAGAAATACATTCCGATTAGATAAATCTCTGGAAAAAAAGAGTGTTTTCGATTTCCTGAAATGGAAAAGTGACAACACAAATCGTTGCATTACCGCTTTAATCCAACACATTCTAGGCAAGATCTGCAGGGCGGGGGCAGTGGAACGAGAGCAGAGCAAGAGAAATAATCGAGATTAGTATTTAGAGGATACAGTTGTACAACCAAGGAAACAACATAAACACAAACAACACAGCACAAGAGAGTCGCAAATGAAAATAAAAATATAATCCAGCGCCTGAAAGTAGGCACCGCAAAACGAAACACAAACTCAACAGAGGCGGTCACAAAATTGGACAGGCTACAAAAGGCGACAGTGGCGGCTGCCAGAAGTATCCGCACCATTCAAGTGCTGCTGATGATGCTGCTGCTGCTGATGCTGCTGTTGCTGTTGCATGAGACTGGAGTGCGGGGGCGGTGGCGGGCGTCCGTCGTCGCCCAGATATCCGACTGATGTCTGCATGCCGCCGGACATGTCCAGGCCGCCATTGCCCGTCATCAGACCCCTCTGCTGTTGCTGCTGCGGATGTTGTTGCTGCAACTGTTGTTGCTGCTGCTGCTGTTGATGCAATGCATTCAGGGCTCCGCTGAGCTGGTGCTGGTGATGCTTGGCCGCCAGACTGGCCAGCTGGGCATGCTGTTGCTGCATCTCACTGTTCATTCCCGGCAGCATAATTCCCTCTGCGAGTGTGTGTGTTTGCGGTTTCGGTTTCGACGAAGGGTGTAAATTGATGGGGGTGTACATGGGCAGTGGGAGAGCGGGCGGACGGGGAGTTGGATCAGAACAGACAAGAACAGCACACAATTAGAGGTTAGTTGTTAATGCTAGTGGGTAGTGAGGTTGTCAATTCGCCTGAACCCTAAACATTGGGGAGGTTCCCACTCATTATCTGAAACACCTGTCTTAAGCTGTAGCTGTATTTTGCCTTGCCTAAAACTATTAAGGTAAACAATTATTTTCAAACTGTTGCTGTATCTTGAATTGATCAATTTTTAAAAAAAATTGAAGGAGGGAGTAGGATCTGTTTGATCAGAAATAATCTCAGCAAGTGTCATTCTTTTACACAAATAACCCTTGCTTTCTGTTAAGGGTTACTTAAGGAAGAAAATTTCTATAAAAAGATTACCCCATTAACATTTTCTTCTATTATACACTCAGAAAACTAAATTGCCTTAATTTTAGCACAAATTTGCCATTATTGACTTAAATTTGAGCCTTCCATACAAAATCTATAAAAACATGACCTAGAACGAAGTTTAAGGCAATAAATTCCTTGGATGTCGTTTTAGGTAAGGTCTTCGTAAATTTTGTATGAAAGGCTCAAATTTAAGGCAATCATTCCTAATGTTAAGGCAATTTTTCCTAAAATCAAGGAATTTAGTTTTAAGAGTGTAGATATAATATTTAATTTTTTTGTATCTAATTTTTAAAAATTTAATTTTAATTTAAACTAATTATTTAAGCCTTAAAATTCTACTTTCCAGGTGAACCCGTTAATATTGTTTTTCTTAAGAATTGGCAAAGCCAGAACCTGTCCATATTTTAAGAATGTAACAAACCTAAACTTCCTATTTAATTTTAATTTTCCAAGCTGCATAAAACCATACTATGCATACTATCATTTAGGTCCCTTTAAGAGCAAATCGATTGCGCAAACTACCCAATCAAACTATGCTAATTGCCACACAAAGCTCAATAACATGGGCACATGAATAATGTCGCCCCATGGGGGATATAACTCCACTCCACTCTACTCACTTGAGTTGTGCTCGTAGTGGCCATTCTGCTGGTTCATCTTGGCCGGCGAGTCTGTGTTCAATTGCGAGGCGGTCACCGAGCGGGTCTGCAGGGTGTTCGGTTTGGAGTTCAAGGCGGAGCCGGGGGCGCTGGGCAGACCGCTGCTGGTGGCGCTGCTGCCACCGCCATTGGGTTCGTCCAGGAGTTGGCGCAGACGTTGCAGCTGGGCCTCCAGCTGTCGATTGTGATCCTCCAGGATTTGCATGCGCGCCTCCAGGCGTCCCTTGTGCTGGCGCAGCAACTTGGCCTCCGCCATCATGTCCTGCAAATAATTTGAAAATAAATTAGAAAACAAATTCCAAAAAAAAAAAAAAAAAATGAGGGGTCGGCGTATCTCACCTGTCCCTGCTCGCCCTGGCCAGAGAGACCCGTCATGCTGGAGCTGGAGTGCTGCATGCCGTTGGCATCCTCGGGCGTTCCACTCTGCTGCTTGCTGCACAGCTGCTGGTACTCCGCCTGCAGGTTGGCGTTCTCCTCCTCGAGATCGCGGATGATCGCCTCCAGCTCCTCCCGCTGCTCGGCGTCCATGGCGGCCATCACCTGGACCGGCGACTTGGGCGCACTGCCGTTGCTGGTTCCGGGCAGCGCCTGGCAATACTGAGCGATCAGCTGGTGCTCGTCATCACTGTCCGGCGTGGAGTTCGAGCCCGTTCCCCCGTACTCCACCTGCGCCAGCCGCGAGGCGTACATCTCCAGTCGCGAGTGCATGTCGTTCTGCAGCTGGTGTGTTGTGTGCTGCGGACTGGGCGCCGGACTCTCCAGGGCATCACCTGAAAGAAAAAAAAATTATTATTGTACAAATAATTTAAATTACACTGTGCAACAGCTTAAGGGTATATTCGAATATAACTGCAATTTAAAGTTAAGATTTTTAATTAAATAGTAAGCGACATAAAAATTTTAAGTACAATTTTTTGTCTAATTTAAAAATAATTTCATTTGTTATACTGTAGGTATTTGTTAATTATATATTTTTTTTGTCTTTCTTTTGGGACTTGCATTTGATATTAACTTTTTTAAACAAATGTCTTACTCATGACTACAATAATATTTAAAATACAAAATTTAAATTAGCCTGTTGCTGTTTATTTATTTTAAATTTTAAATTTAAAATTGGTCAATAACTGTTTATTAATTTAAAGTAAAATTTTACTTTAAATTCCTAAGAAATTAAAAGAGGTTTTTTAAGTAGTCTAGATAATTGCATTAAAAATCCGAACTTAAAACTGATGTGTTGTGAGTTTTTTGTGTGTTGTCTGTTTTATATAATTAAATTCCAACTTGTTTATTTGTTTATAGATTGGGATATCTAAAAATCATAGAATATAAATCTATCTATGACTTACCCTCCAGGACACTCTGTACGGGTAGGTAACCGACGCGTGGATGCTTCTTAAAGTATTTGCGACTCTTGAATTTGTTCTTCAGGGCGCGTGTAAAGTCACGAACGTCCTCGGTGGAAGTGGTCTACGTGGATGGAGAAAAAGGCAAGTTTCATTACAACTCACTGTCAATTAAATGAGATCTTTCCACTCACAGTGGTGCAGTACTCGTGCATGGGATGCGTGAGCTTGTGGTTCTTGGCATTGCGGCCGAAGAAGAAACACTTTTGGCACATGTCGAAGTTGAAGCACTTGAGGCACCTGTAGCGGAAGCCCACGATCGGGTACTCCTTGCAGATGTTGCACTTGGCCTGATGCTTGGCCGCTTCAGCCGCCGCCAGTCGATGGAGCACTGGCAGCCACACGAGACTCTGCGGCTCGTGCTGCAGCCAGCCGAGGAAGTGCTGCAGCTCGATGGATATGTCCTGGTTGCCGTCGATGGCCTCCTGCGAGATGCCAGCCTGCTCCAGGCAGGACCTCACAGATGGCTCAATGTTGGAGCCCCCGAAGGCGGCCACTTCACCCAGTTGGCGGGGCACCTTGAATTAGGAATGAAGAGTGACGATATTAGATTTAAATTTTTAAATATTATCAAAAAGTTTAATGTTTTAATTTGACCATATATAAATATAACATTTAATAGAATTTATTAAATAGTGTGTTAAAGTTAATAATTTTATTAAAACTTTATGAGCTTAGCAATTAAACGAGCTTTTGATTATTGATTATTATTAATACATTTTTTACTTCTACTTAATATTAAATGACTCAATTTTAAAGCAATTAAAATTTTATTTAATGAAGAGAAAGTAAAATAATAATTATATCCTTGCAATTTTAGTCAAAAGTTAGAAACGCTTGAAGAGCCGATCTGTCCGTTTTAACGCAAACTAGTTCCTCACTTTAAAAACTACCTGGATCCAACTTTCTCAAATGTTTTTTTTTTTCTGTTGCAGGTAGTATAAAATCAGGACGATCATAAAGATTCCAAAGAAAATGATTTTATAATTTTGCTGTTTTAAATTTTTTTTATGAATATATGTTCTTCAAGATAAAGCAATGATTTACATTTTTAGAATTATGGCTATATATTGTTAAAATCGGACAACAATATTATATAGCTGCTATAGAAATGATAAAAAAATGTATCGAAAACCATTTACATTACATTGTACATACACGCATAAAGGAAAAAAAATAAATTAATTTAATGGGCATCCTCTCTTGTACTCGACCCTCACCTGTATACAATCGTGCAAGAGCAGTCCCAGTCGCCTCTGGTCCGCCCGTCGGTCACTGTCTGCAACCAGGCGGAACAGGTAGCGATACTTCTCCTCCAGGTGGCCCTTGCAGAGGAGCACCAGGCCGACCTTGAAGCTTAGCACCCGTATCTGGCCGGTGCGCTGCGAGTCGTAGACATTTAGGATCCAGTTGATGGCCAGGTCCAGCATTAGCGTCAAATCAATTTTATCGATTGTCACGTAGAGCGAATGCAGCACCGTGGTCATGTCGGGTATGTCGATCAGCTTGTCGTTTTGGGCACGCAGGCCATGTCGATCGAAGGACTCGCAGGCGGTGGACATGCTGATCCTGTCGAGAGCTGTTAAGGAGATGGCATTAAATAGTAAGCTTGCAGATGATGTGCTTCCATGCTAAACTCACCCAATCGCTTTTGCACTGATCGCAGTTTCATGGCCGTTCTGTAGGCGGAGAAGCGAATCTCGTTGAGATCAGCCAGGCCCTTCATCAGCTCAATCATCTCGGGATGGTCCCAGTGCGTGGTCTCGCGTTCATGGCTAGTAGTAGAAATAAAAAAGTAGAAAAGTTTAGTAATTATATAATGGTTATTTGCCTAAATACAGCTGTGGTCAAAATAATAGCAGTGGGAAAACATATAAAGTGATCAGAAATATACTTTTAAGGCATTAAACATATATACTGTTATTTAATATTATTTCTTACTAACCAATAAACAAAATGAAGATAAAAATCGTTGATATTTATTTAGTTTATCGTCGTTAATCTGAACTTTGCATGGAAATAAATAAGTTTTTATTATTTGAATTATTTTTAATTAAAAAATTTAAAAACATTTTTAAAATCAATTTTATTTTCTAAAAGTTCTTCAAAAATATTTTCAATGAACGTTTCTGTAAGCAAAAAAGTGCTACTATTTTACAGACAACTGCATATACAACCTGACTAAATAATTTATAAAACTACTGATTTGAATTGTCTCAAGACCGATTTATCAAATCTAATTTTATTTTTATGACGTTTAGCAAGTGAAATCGGCAGGAAAATCATTAATTTATATAATTTTAAGTCTAGTATACAAGTATTATACTAAAATAGAACATTTGAAAGGTCTCTGCCAGCTAGAGTCCTTCGGCCTGAGTTTTGCATTAAAAAATGCTTTGCACGAGTTTTATAATTTTTAAAAATCCCGTGACTTTGATATACTCAACGGCATACTCACTCGATGTAATAAGGCACATTGGCGGCAGTGGTGGCCCGTTCCCAGGGCGGCTTGACGCTCTGACCGAGATTGGGCAGGGGTCCGATTGTGCCGCTGTTCGATGTGGTGCGTCCGTCGTCGCCGTTCTCGTGCGTCTGCTGGGCACCAGCCTGGCACAGGACCTTTTGGCGCTCATCCATCGCGATTTGCAGGAGCTTCATGCTGTCGTCATTTAAACAATCCAGTAAGGATGTGTGTCACAACATAAAGGACATTGTCTACTCACCGCGTATTCAAATCCTCCAGCTTGGAGAGGCAGGGTGTGGGCACCAGCACCTGGTTGGCGGTGAAGAAGGACTGCTGCTCGTTGCAATCATCCAGGAGCGCACTGGCCGTGGTCATCTTGTCCCTTAGCCGCTGCAACTGCTGCATCTGCTCGTTGGCCTCGCCCACGGAGGAGGGCGGCAGCCAGGCGGTCTTTGTCTGCTCGGCCAGGGCAACGCGGGAGCTCAGATCCTCCAGGATCTTCTGGAATTGACGCATTTTCTGTAAGAACCAAGCAAAATGGGTAATCAGTTAGATGAAATGGATAATGATCACTATTGTGTTATCCCTCGTGTTATCGTTTGTATTGAGGCTTGGGACATAAGAATGCATTTTATTTGCGTAGCATTACCATGCCACAAACAGATACCTATGGAAACTGCAGCTCTTTTATTGCCTACATCCATGGGCGCCTTTCACAAAATTAATTTCATTATGATTATGAGCTTAGTGGCGCTCACGTTGCAGTAGGGGCTTATTATGCCCAACCTAAGGGGATTAAAATGTTGGTCCAAGCTTGTCAGACAACATAAGAAGTAATGCCAATCAGTTCCGGTTAGTGAACATGGTAGATATTTTAAATCGGATTAGTTTGCCAGGGTGATTGTCCCCCTTCTTTTCCTTGCATACTGATTTCGATTTGTTTCCTTGGAAACATCTTTAATGTGCGCAATGATGCTGGGACCCAATTGATTTCATTCTCTAAAATTTTATATACACCCAATTTGTAAGTTTTAGGTAAGTATGTGCGAATCAGACACAGCTGTTCCAAGCCGTTGACTTTGTCTATTTTTTGAAGTGCCGCAGTCGCTTCTTCATTAGCAGTTAAAAGCAGCCAGCTTGCGCTTTAACGTTTATGTCCTTTGTATGCACTGGGTTGCCCAAAACTCCCTGCTCTTTTCTCTCACTTTCTGCACTTTCCGCAGCGTCAATTTGGCGCTTTTGTAACTCTAAACTGGAAAAGGCAGGTCCTGAAACAGGAGCAACAGGAGCCGAAAGGAGCAACATCTGCGCACGTTTCATTTGGCCCATTTTGACTACACCGGCTCCCCTAGAGTGTGAGCTCTCTGAGAAAATTTTCGCTTTTCAATTTTTACCTTGACACCCCATTTCCCATTTACCATTTACCATTTACCATTTCCCACATCCCACATCCCGCATCCCCATCATTTTCCATTTCCATAAACCGGCAAGAGAAACTTTCATTGCCTGCCGTTTTGTATGCAACAAGCAAAATGCATTTACCTTGGCAAAGCAAAAGTTTCTTCAGCCCGCAAGGAGTAAGGGTGTTCAGGAATCACCCACTCCTCCTCTTCGGGTTGCTTTTCTTTATTATTTCATTTAGTTTTCCCTGGCTGCCTTCGCTCTCTTTTCGACTGCACCCCCCATTTCTGGCTTCTGTGTAGTTTTTTAATTTAGTTTTCTTCGAGTTTGTGTTTTTGATTTGGAACTTTTGCCTTAGCTTTTCCAGCCTTTAACTCTTTGCGGCTCCCGGGGTCGGAGCATTATGCCCCATAATGCACTTGTACAGGCAGTTATCCATGCGTTTGGCTGGCCGTATTCATGTATTTTTCTTGTGCAACTCTTGTTTGTGGCATTTCCCAGATGCAATTGTTGCTTTGTCTTTGAAAACTTAGTAAATAATCTTTTCTTTTTCGGGGTTTATTTGTCATATCGGAATGGCTTTGAAAGATTGGTTTCTGTGCACCTTATCGTTAATGTGATTCAATAATATAATTATATTTAATTTATTTCTTTCTTAAAATAATAATCTTTATGATTAAAGACAACTCGTCAATGATAATGTAATTAACCCCTCTGGTTATTCACATTTAAATATTGTATGAGTCTTTGGTCATTTATTTTTTACCACATTTATTTTTGTCAGTTCTTCACCACCTACCATCAACCTACTGCTCCACTGCTAATTAAGCACACAAATTATTTCCTGCCGCTGTGAGAGCAACTCCAGTTGAAAACCCTTTGTGTGGAGCTGCTTTGAGCTGCCTTCGCTATTTATTTTTTAATTAGCGGAGCGGGAAACGCAGCCAACAAAGGCGCCCAAGGGCTGTAGCCAACTTGTCGCTTGCAATCAATAATTTGATGTTTACAATAAATATGCATCCCCCCCCATTGCTGTGCAATCGCAGCACCTCCGTTAATTAGTGGCAACAAGCCAACAAAGTGGCCGCCGCAACAAAGAGACAAGAAAGCTGTTTGCCATCGAAGTCATTATGGCAAAGGCATCGGGGGATGTAGGATGCAGGAATGGGACGGTGGCCCTCTGATAAGAGGGCAATGCACTTTTAAAGCTGCCTCCTTCATTGGCCCGTCGTCGGCAGCAAGGAAAGAAGGAAAGTTTAATCAGCAAGCGACGAAGAAAAGTCCAGGCTACATGCATTGTGGGCCTGTGCCAAAGGGAATCCCTGCAAAGTCAACAGGCAGGCGGACTACGGCTGGTGGGGTGCCATTTTTATTTTTTTTTTTGCCCTGCCATTGTTGGGGGCGTTTGTCCATGGCGTGTACTTAAAAAGTGCAACTCTGTGTAATTTAATACCATCCGCTAGACTCCATAACAATTCCTTGGCTCCGTTCCACCTGCGGCTGTCGAGCAGGAAACTTGGTTACATATATAAAGTAAATGTTATCGCCATATTTTCTATGGCATCACACAGAGAAATTATGAATTTTTCCTCCTTGTTTTATATTTTAATTATTATACAAAGAATAAAATGTTTACTGTTTATACATTTTTCTCTGGCCAATTTAAACTATTTGTTTGAATCAATAAAGCTTAAAGCTTTTGGGTTTTAATTTTTTTTAAAAGTAAACAAATGTTGATGGACAATTTTATTAATTAACTCATTATTTTTAATTAATCGAGAGCATTGAGCCAATAAATAAATGTTTACTGTTTAGGAACTGCCAATTTAAACTATATTTTTTAATCATTTACTTAATTACTTTATTATTTATTTAATAATCGAGAACTGTTACTAACAAATTTGTTTAGAACGGGCACCATTTATAGAGCTTATTAATAATGCTTTACATGCTCTATGGGAAATGCAAGGTGTAAGCTCAGCTATGGCAGCATTTTTCTGACTTAAATTGACAAATATGCGCGGCTGACATGGCAGAATGAATTGTCATTTAATGGAAAGGTTAGAGCTGAATTATTCTGCAGTTAAATCAAACATTTCATCAAACTGTTGCTCATTTCCTGTTTTCATGGTTCTTTCTGTTACTCCTTTACTCAGTGAAGCTTAAAACGGAAATCCTTGCTTGCAATAATTAATTGAAATTGCAAGTGAGACTGAAAAAGTTTCGCTTAAAGAAAGTGAGGGGCGGGTGCAAAAAAAGGGGTAAAAACGGAGAGAAAGAAAAACTCGGTTAGCTGTTTGCCATTTCCTTTCTTCTTTTTTTTTAGCAAGGACACGTCTACTTAAATAAATGACGATCAAAAAAAAAAAAAAAAGGAATCCGTTATGGCTGTGGGTGGGAATAAATCAAGATTTTAAAGGAAATGATGGAAACAGAGAGCTGGATAAACAGGGAGACGGCAAGGATTCTTTTAATTAAAATTATACATTAAAATGCATATTTTCCTTTTTCAATCAGCATTAAAAAAATTTATTTCTTTGGAGTGCTCAGAGAGTTTTACATTTTAAAGATGTATTATTTGTTTTGATAAATGTTGCATAAAGGTAATTGTACAACATTTACATTGAATTGAATATGTTCATTCTAGGAAAATTGTAAAACCTAATATTTGTGATATATGGAAATAGATATTTAATCATAATTTTAAAACAAATGCGTATTAAGCTGCATAATTTATTATTAAATACTTTATTTAATAATAATAATGCCATTCGATTTAAATACGTTTTATTTAATCTAAGAATGATTTAAATTTAAATAATCTTTTTAGATAGTAAAATCAATTCCGAAAATAATCAAATGAATTTTTAATGTTTAAGTATGAATTAAGCTAAAACTAAAAACCGAAATGGATGAAAGTCAAATGGAAAATATTTAAATTGAGTACAAAATATTTGGATTTACAATGTTTTTTTTACCACGGTATTGGATCATTTAATCAAGTGTATAGACTGAAATATTTGTATAGAAAGGCATGATCAATATTCCAGCCAACGACTGTTAGCCCATACACAAACCTCATTCTCATCGCGCAAAATTCCGACAACCTGGAGAAACATTCGCTCGGCCTCGTTCTGCGGATCGTAGTTGGAGTAGGTGTCGTCCACCAGCGTTATGTCGCCCAGGCGGCAGTGGAGCTGCTCCTCCGACGAGGACGAGTACAGCGACAGGATGTTGCGTCGCCGCTCATCGGCCACATGTTGCATGCAGGCAGCGACAGTCGCTGTCGCTGGGCGATCATCGGCAACATCTTCTTCGGCGGCTGCTTCATCGCAGCCACTGCTACTCAGTTGGGAGTAGCTCAGGCTCAGGCCGTCCATTTCCACGCCCTCCTCCTCCTCCTCCTCCTCCTCATCGTCGTCGTCGTCCTGCTCCATTTCGTGCTCCAGTTCTGTGCCACCGGTGCCACTGTCACCGCTCTGCGAACTGGCCTTGGTCTTGGCCACGCCCCCAACTGCAGCCGCCGCCCCTACGTTCACCACCACCAGATTGTTCAGGTGATTGCTGAAGCGGTGCGACTCATTGCTGCTGCTGCTGCTCCGACTGCGACGCTTCAGCGAGCGAAAGGGGGCGAGAAGGCGGCGGCGAGTGCTGCACGTGGGCGTGGCATAGGGCGGTAGAATCTCCAGCGCTTGATGATGGATCTTGGGTGCCCCCGAATAGCGTTCCAGCGACCTTGACTTCGCCCCATTGCTGTGGAGAACAGAGCGTTCAGCCCTTTTGGTGTGGGAATTTTCAATTATTTCTCCAGCTTCATCGCTGGAACTGTGAGCCATTGCTGGCGATGTTGCAGCCTGGCCACTGCTGGCAAAAAAACGCATTCTGGTAAATGTTTCCAGCTAGGCAATTCACTTTCGTTTAGGAGTTTTGCAGCTCTTGTTGCAGATATTGCTAGTGTTGCTGCTGCCCTTTTTCAAGCAATTGTTGCTGCTGCAGTTATAGTTAATGTTGCTTCTGCAACATATATTTCTTCTGCTGCTGCTACTAGCAATTGCTACTGCACTTGTAGTTGATGTTGCGGCTGCAACATATATTGCTTCTGCTGCTGCTGCTAGAAC